TGTGACATTACACTATCCTTGCCAATGTCATATAACACATTCTGCCGGCTACAAATTTCAAAACTTTGTTCTATTGAACAAGATTCCCCTATCACTGATCCCTATATGAAAAGCAATTACGGTCTTGAGTACATTACCAAAACATACAGGGCTCCTAAACTTCTAAATCCATTAGTTTTTAAAACCATTGTTGAAACTATGGAAATAACTGAAAATATATTGGAGGCTAGCCCCCAAGCCCCCAATAAGGCCTACAATAATTATGTGGAGCACAAAATCGGCTACCAAATTCAGTGACATCACGACTTATTGACATCTAATAATAAATTCCAATCTGCCTACACAAATACAAGAAACAGTTTTAGATTTGGAAATTTATCAAATACAATGATCATCATAGTCTAACTAAACCTCTCTTAGCAGATAGGTCATCATGGCCTGACCACACCTCCTTTAGTACATGGATCCTCATGGTCTGACCACACCTCCTTTAGTACATAGATCCTCATTGTCTGACCACACCTCCTTTAGTACATAGATCCTCATGGTCTGACCACACTTCCTTTAGTACATAGATCCTTAAGGTCTGACTCCTTTATTTCATAGATCATTATGGTCTGACCATACCTCCTTTATAGATCATTATGCCTCTAACTAATCTCTGTGGGGCAAAAAATTTAGATGCGAGGCATAGGAAAAGATATCTTTGAGGGTATGAAACTGATGTCATTGTAACTGATGCCATTGTGCAGTTCTAGATACTAGATTAATCAGCTGATTTATTGGCATGGTTATTGTTTAGTCTTACCCACAATAATAAACCTGTCACCAAGGTGATATGTCAGTCAGCACCGTCCATCATTGCCAAGGTGATACATAAGCCCTATCATTAATATGTCAAAGGCAACTTTCAAAGTAACATGAATAGAGATTAGGGGTGGGGGAATTCTAGAATGCATAGAATTCAAGTATACTTTAAAGGCTCTAGAATATTTGTCTGAGAAAATTCTACTGTATTTTTATTTATTTATCCATTGATAAGTAAATTGGTAGGTAATTCAGCGAAATTGGATTGCACTTATTTAGCATGACATTGACCTCAGCACGCGTTGACATATTCATTCATTGCCAAATTCTTGAATAAGTCATCAAAACCTGGTACGAAGTTGGATATTGGTATGACGGTCCTTAATTTATTTGTAGGTGAAAAAGCCTCCCTCACCACCCCCAATCAAGGTTAAGTTGTGTCTGAATATGTGAATCACCTTCCCTTTTGAATTTAAAACATGCAAAATGTTACCATCTGCCATTTGTTATAGATGCCCAATGCCAGTCACCAAATGCCAACCACCGTCGCAAAAAATGGAAACCATAACAATATGTTACCACTTTTGGTGGTGACATGAAAAAGCAAAGAAGGTCTAGTATCTAAAAGTGGTTTCATTGCTTTCTTCTAAATATCACTACCTGTTTCTGAAAAATACTTTTTAATTTTTCATTTAGCCCACCCTAAAAACTCTCATATATTTTTCTCATACTAGCACATGCTATTTACAAGTTGTGCAAATGTTGACTTTGGCTATGACAGTATTTTGCACATTTAATTCAATTTCATAGATAATTGGTGAAATATATAGAAATTTTTATCGCCATGGTATATTCTTTCTTTGTTTTGGCACGGGTCTGAATGTCCTATGTTGCATCGCACACAGAGAAAAATGTCAAAAATTTAATGTGAATTTTGTGACATTTTTTTCTATTTAGTAATCTAATCTATAAATTATTGAAATCAATAAATACATAAATTGCTTGATAAGATATCTTTAGAAAGTATGGTTCATTAAACTGTATCTAAAAAATTTATAAATTGCTTGCTAAGATATTTTTAGAAAATATATTCATATTAAACTGTATTTAAAAATTATTTAAACAATATTTCTGGAAATAGGCATTTGTTGTCAGCAAAGTTGATGAATATAATAAAGATAGCAAGGCAAACTTTCTGATTTATCAAAGTCTTTCTTTATCCAATGCATGTTTGTACTAAGTACTTCAAGAGATGGTACAGGCTGTAAATCAAAAAATGTAAAGTAAAAAAGTGAATCCTAAGAATGAGTAATAAAAAACATGTAAAATCTACAAATGTAATATTTGATATGAATTCGTTGTAAACTTTCCATTTTTCTTGTTTGCTTATAACAACAACACAAGAAAGCACAAGCAGTGATATTACAAACATTTTGGGAAATAGTGAAAATTCGAACCAATAAAAATGAAATAGAAAAGGGTTCCTTCAATAGATGGCATGCAAGAACAAACTTTAAGGATTTCATGTTATCCTTACCCTAACTCACAAAGCCACATACCCTGTGCTAGCTATATGGATGAATCTGTCTTTTAAAGAGGTGAAATCAAACTAACTGGAAAGAGCATATTAACCTGAAAATGAGGAAGAGGGGAGTCAGTGAGGTTTTGAAGTGTTATTGGTATCTGTTTTCTATTGTCAAAGAAAACAATATAAGAACTCTACAAAGTGTTAATTAGTAGATCTTGTGTCTATTTGACGCATAGTTCCCTTTGATGTCTTAACACAATCAGTATGGTTGCATTTGTATTAGGCCACGATAACATATCAGAATAGCCACAATAATCTTTTTACTTTTCCCACTGAATTTTCATGCAGCATCAGCCCCTAGTTGTCAAGCTGGGTGCAAACATAACAAATATTTGAATGTTTTCTGGTGTCATTTTTAGAGTAAATATTTTTAAAATAGTATGTAGACTTGAGTGCCATCGATTTAACAAAAAATCACATTGATGCATTGTATAACTTCGCCGCCTAACATGTTGACAATAAAGCAATATACCTTTTGATTCCTATGCTAAGTACATTCATGAAATGCCTTAACAGCCCTATAACAATGTCCTAACAATGTTTCTCATTTGTTCTGGATGTATGTTTGGAAACAATCAAAACAATTCGTCTGCCAATGAGTCAGCCACAACAGAAGAAAGTTCCACGTTAACAAGCTCCTTGGGCAGTGACGCCCATATCCCAATGGTCAAATTGACTACCATGAAATAATGCCTATTGTCTTAAGGAATGTTAGTGGGAAGTACCCCAGGAACTCAAAAACTTGTGACACAGTCTGAATATTGTCAAATCCTTTATAATCAGAACTTGGAATATAGTATGATAAGTTAAGTGCAGGGCTATAATCATCCGTCTTGTGTACTTGGTAACATATGAATATTTGTGAATGAAGATTCAATTTGAATTTACAGACTTTTCCCCTTTCTTAGGATATATCGACAATAAACTATATTCATCCAAAATGAAATCCCATAAGGGAATATTTTGAATTAAATGTTTTGACTTTTGACAAGTTCCCTCTATATATCTATTGAAAAGTCTAACCAGTTAGTAATGATCTTAATGAATTTGTTATTCTTTGAACTACTTTGAAAGTAGTATACCTCTGGGGCCTACTAGGATTGAAATGTCAAAATGATGATATTTAGAAATCCAAATATATTAAAACAGATACCAAAAACAAGGAATAAAGTGAACAGGCATGAAGACAACACTCAAAAGCATTGCTTTAGCAAGAAAACTAAATACTTCACTCAAATTTTTGAGAGAAATAGAGTAAAATAAGATTGAGCAGACGGACATTTGCATTATGGGTAACTATTCTGTTACTGTCCTCTTTATAGTGATTCACAACAACATTCAATATTTTGGTTAAATGTGGTTAATAATAGTGTATTATTTATATATTTATTACTGGTTGATTTATTTGACACCGCCACATCCCCTAACCAGAATAAGACCTCCTATGATACTAATATCCTACGACTGCCGTCTGCCAATATTATCACTCTCTTATTTTCTTTCTAAATTTTGAAAGAAATATCTGATTAAATGGTATTTTAGTACAATTCTGGGTGTTAACAACAGGCATGTTAGCTTTATTATTCATGGATTTTGTTACATTGCATTTTATTTGCAAAGTTATTATACCTGCCTATGTAGACATGTTGTTTCTGGGTCAACCATTATACTATTCTAATGTTTATTTCTGATAACATGTATTGTGTATGTAAAATTCAATAAAACAACATAACAAGTTTTGAGGTATTTATCGTATTTATTGAAAAATGGATAAAATTTGAGTCATTATGCTTATAAGTGTCTTCACATTCTTTAGAGAACAATTCCATTCATTGCTAAATAATAATTACAAATGAGACTCAGAAAGTAAGCACCCATAAGTGTGCTCATTTATTTTTCAATTTCAATTATATTTTCACACCTTTTGATTGTCCAATTTGGTTCCTCAATGGACTGGTGACAGCATCTGTTTAGATGTTGACAGTTAAGTGGGCATTCATAGGGTAACTGTAACAATAAAGTGGCGCCTGAGATCTTGTTAGAAGCCTGAAGAAGTGACTGGGAAATCTTCAAAGAGATCAAGAAAATTGAGGGTATAATTGACTTGTAATAACATGGAGGCCCTAGCAAAAAATAATTGCAGCAATCAAGATTTCAAATGATAAATACGATCAAATCCTGGCAAATGGTGCTTATTTAACGATACCTGCACTCAACAGACGTCCTCAATGGAGCAAAACTCTAAGAAAATGTGACTATGTTCTAATTCTACAAGAGAAAAACTGAAAAATTCACGAAAGCCGCAAGATTTTCTGAATAGTTAAATCATAATGAAAGCTGACAGATGGGCTTATACAGATTCATAAAGGTTTCAAATCATAAATAACCAAATGTTAAAGATCATAAAATCATCATTTCAAATGGCTTATTTGTCAAAATGTAAATTGGAGCCAACCAAAGAGGGAGGGCTGATTTGAGAAGTTAGAAGACAGTAGGTGGGGGGGGTTAAGGCAAATATAATATAACACAAAATAAGCTGGTAGACCAGATGTAAGGTTGGTAAATAGAGGTAATCTGTAGATTAGTGAATAATCATAATATTTACCTTTATCATTGAGATTCCGAAATAGATGTGTGGAACCATTTTGATGATCTGGCGTTTTCCTCGTCATGGCTTCAATTTCTGACAACTCAAGTCTATGGCGACTGATCCGTGCTGAAAGTATAATAAAAAAGTTTCTATCAAAAATCAGGTTATTATTATATTGATTATAAATGTTAGGCTTATGGAAAGTTTTTTCTAAAAAAACAAGGCATTTACATACAAAATATCACCACCCACCATTAGTTACAGACACCGAATGCCAAACACCAACCACCGAACACAATCCATAAATAAAAAGTCAGAGACTGTAAGAATATGTCACCACCTCTGATGACATAAAAATTAAGAACAATGGCATAGTCAAGGAGCTATAATCACAATATTCTAATAATAGACAAATATAAAACCTTCAGAACAAAAAAACGGAGACCATAACAATATGTCACCACTTTTTGGTGGTGACACACAATAATAATGCTTTGTAATATTTTTGATGTTGTAATCTGGGCAATACAGATTACTCTTCATTACTCTTCGATTGTGGTCGGTACCACATGACCTTATCAATCAAAAGCCAAATCTTTTATGCCAGAAAAAAATATTATTTTATATTTTTCAATACTCTATGTGTAAATACTAATAATGTCAAATATTCATTTTCAAATAATGCATAGACCTCCACGATCTTCTTTGATCAGCAAATCTTTATCATATATAAAAAAATAAACATTAATACAAATAAGTATTTGCACTGAAAAACTACCATGGAATCGTTCTAAGACACCAATATCAAGCACTTGAAATTATGAATCCAAAAATACAATAACCTCACAATCACTTCAAAATCAAATTGGAAAGTATCACAAAAGAATATCTATATTTGTCGCCTCATTTTTTGTCTACGTACAAAGAATGTATCAAGAAACAGATTAAGATTTCAGAAAGAAATCAAAACACTCTAGAGAGACTGAAACCACTGTCTTTTGTTGATCGATAAATAACTGAGCGTGTTCAAAATGCCGTCTGCACATGCTCATTTCATAACTTTTCTCTGTAAAATTTGAATAAAGTGTCTGATTTTTTGTTATTGTTATGTACCTAGGAGTGTCGCCTACATGCCTGTATATTTTGTTCCTCGCTAATTCCTCTTTTTTCTTGTTTATTTCGCATTCAAAAACATGACTAGATGAGATTTTGTCAATAGGAGAGCATAATACTCCACATGCTTAACAATGTACAATCAATCGGTGCCTTTTCATAGGGGTGTGAATAGAATCGAGACCTGTAACCCCACCCTTGACCCTTTAATTCATAAAGCTTCACCCCCCACCACATTATTTTCCCACCTCGTGCGTAACATGATACAAACACAGAAAATATAATACCAAAAATGTACTAAAATCATGTTAACTAAGTATATACACAATATAGCCACCCCAAGATATAGACCCCTACCCAAGGGCTGCGTCTACCAGTACAGACCACTCAACTTGAAGTATCAATCTAGGTCTAGAGGCATTGTAACAAATCCCAAGATTAAAATCTCACAAATTCTTACCTAAATCATGCCACTTCTCACCAAAATTCAAATATTTGACTCCATTTTTGACATTTCTATATAATTCAAAATGTAAACTTCAAGCCCAAATGTGACAATATATGTTTTTCTTCCTGTAATTTGTGTTATTTTATATTTTAATGTATGTTTGAAATGAGGTTTTTGGATTACTGGGAGGCTAAAAGTAGTAGGCAGAAAGGCGACAAAGTGTCTGCCCCAATGTCCCCAACTTTACACCTTACTTACAGCAGCACAAAACAAAGCTTCCTGACAGAAAAATCTCACATGAGGCTTATTTTAAAATACCTGTACAGAGAGAAAAAAGGGCAAAATTATAAAAAATAAAATGTACTGAGAGTTCAATGACTTGAAATTATATGAAAATGCAGAAAAATCTGATGTATAATATAATAGGCATTTGATAACTGTACTAAATAAAATAGGCCCATCAAGAGCAGATAGGATTTTAATATTTATTGAATATCTTTTTTAATATCCCATATAATAACTAAATAATAATTAAATCAAATCATCATCAAACAACTTTTCTTAAAATCTACTTAATTGCGCATTTTTATCATTACACTTTCTCAAATACAGAATTTTTGTTTTAAATACTTATTCATGAACAAATGAACATTTAAAGCCTGGTTTAGCATTCCAGAAATGTTGACCGACACCTAAGCCTACTTGTACATACAAATCTAATTCCAATATCACGGTAGAAAATTTCAAATGTCATGCTAATTCTACATCATTTCTCTTAGTATTTCAATGAAATGTGAGGATTTTTGTGATTTCTATATAATTTAGAGTATGTGCTATGTGCCTATTGACTTCATTCCATGCCGATTCCTCTCTTTTGACGATATTTCACGTTTTAAAATATGGTCACTTTATATTCTCATCATGGGATGTTTGCAGTTTTTATTATCCTTTCCACATTATTCAAATATATTAATTAACCTTATTCAATACGATACAAAGGTGAAATAAATGTGGTGGATTATGGGATTACTGAATGACGTCCTTTGATTCGTGATCAACTTACCTACACTGCAAATCAGCAGATCAAACTGTTTCTATTTCTTAATGTGCATGTTTTACTATATATAGTAAAATTACTTAAAATTACGCTAATTAATTGTCTGTAGAAGTAGTCAAAATTAAAAAATAAAAAGACCTATGATAAATTATAGGCTTGTTTGAAGCCCTTAAGACCAAAAATCTTTATCTCTACAGGGACCATTTAATATAGCTTAAGATTGGCTGAAGGACGCGGCTATGTGACAAAAGCCAGAATTTTGCAAAAAAGTTCCAAAATTTTGCTTGGGTGTTAAACATGAATTATTCTCTTGTACAATTATTTTTATTTTGATATTTTCCAGATAAATATTTAATGAAACATTGTCAAGTGTGAGAAATAAACAAAGTGTTTTAAGATCATATACCACCCTCTGTTTTACTTTATGAAACAAAAAGAAACTCTTAAAAGAATTTTAGCCCGGGTACTGGCATAAACAGTCACATTTCAGATGACAAATGATCAAACCAACACTAAGTGAAAACGACATCTGCAAATCAAAATTACTCCTGAAAAAAATAAAAACTCATTAATTTTCTTAAAACTGTTAAATTAATTAAGAGTTCAATTAAGGATTAAAGGGCCACACCAATTAGGAGATGGTGTGTGTGGTGATGAAAAACTTGTTAAAATAAAGTGTTGCACTTGAAATGGCCTCTGGTTTGTGTTAAGAAACTGAACTGGAATTTTTACAAAAAAAGTTAAATTCTTTTTATTACATGTATACCCCACAAAGAGAATAGCAGAATATAAGGTGGCTTTTGAGGACATATTTGCTATCTGAGAATATTGAGAAAATAAAATAAATCTCAAATTTTGACCTTTGCTAGTAAATCATTTTCATCCCTGGTCAAGTAAATATTCCATAATTTGACTTTTTTTTAAAAATGATACAATTTTGACATATATTCATTGCAATAAGAAAAAAAAACAGAACTTGCGAATCTGAAAGTCTGAACTAAAAACCATTTTCTTAGTACAGAACCGTCAAATAATATGATTTTATAAAAACAACTTTGCTGTTGATTCATAATGAGCAGAGAAATTGACTATATTACAAAGATTGACACAGCAGAGGCTGGAATAACCCAACCAGATTTGAAAAAGTTTATCACACGGATGTAGTAACTATGTTATGTAGGTATCCTTAATTATTGTTGATAATACATGTTATTAAAGCAAACTGTGAATTGCTGAATCATTTGTGGTTTCTCAAGTGATGTAATACTTTTACCAGAATCAATTTGCTAAACTTACAAAACCACAAAATAGCGTTAAAATGACAGGAAATTGCGACAATTATGTTTAATAGTTTTTATCAATCGTTATAGATTATTAGACTTCTTAACATTTAAAATGAATTTTCTTCAATGTCCAGAGGGTTGTTACCTGACCAAAATCAAAATGGACAGATGTTTGTAAAATTTCACAATATTCAAGGTTAAAATACCAAACCATCAGGACCCATCTGCAATGGTAAAATATAGTACAAATGGGCAAAATTATCATATCACAAAAAATACTTCTTATCATAGCAGTGATCTCCTCAGCATTAAAGCAAGTGGGTGCAGCACCCACCTCAAAATCCATTTGCACCAATTTGAAAATAAGAATTAAAAATAAGAATTAAAAATCATGAAAATGAGCATATTCTGACCAAAGTTGGCCAAAACTGTGAAAATAAGAATTTTGCACCCATTTGAAAAAAAAATCCTGGAGAAAATACTGCAGTCATTCAGTATTTTAGAAATTAATCTAAAAGCAATATATCTCACATGTTGTTTCATTTAGATAATCCTGTCACGTTTATCAATGGCATTTTATTATTTCATTATGGCAACCATGCAATCATTTACTGCTATTATGTAACATCGATAATAGTGATAAGGATTATTATATGTTCAGATATGAAGGATAAGCCCTCCCACCTCTCAGTTGCATTAACAGAATTAGAAGGAATGTGAGAGTCTAACATTTGGAAGCAATATTTTCAAAAATAATGCCTCTGTTTCCATCACAATTCTAATTTTATTTTCTGGAAAAAAAAATTTCTAATTCAGCCAGTTATTGGAGATTAGAGATGAGAAAGGGGCCTGTTTAAGTCAATTTTCTCAAACTATGAAGTAACTTTCTTGCTCTACTATATTAAAGTTCAACTATGTGTTCATTATGTCCATGAAGTGTGCAGATATGAACTAATTGGAAATATTTTTCTGTCTAATTTTTGAGCAAATATGTGTTCAACTAACTGAGCATTCGCCTTGACATTTTACTTTCATAATTCTACTCTGAAATCTAGTAAGCATACCACACTCTGACTAGAATGGATAATTTTCCATTTGATGTTAAACCACTTTTAAAAGCAGCAAAAAGCTGATCTAATAAATTAACTAACAAGGCATGAACATGCAAACTGTCACCACCTGCCATTTGTTACAGATGCTGAACACCGACAGCCAAATGCCAAAC